CTCACGTGAATTTTAGGATCACATTTTCTAGTTCTGTGAGTAATATCAGTGGCATTTTTATTGTGTTGAATCTGTAAACCGCTTTGGGGAGTACAGACATTTTAATAATATTAATTCTCCCAGTCCACGAACATGACTGGTGTTTTCCATTTTTTGGACATTCCATCTCTCTCATCAGTGTTTTGTAATTTTCATTGTAGTGGTCCTTGACTTCCTCAAATTTATTCTGAGTTTTTTTGTAGTTATTATGAATGAGACTACTTTTATGATATTCTCAGCAAATTTATTATTACTGTATAAAAATGAGACTAATTTTTTGTATATGGATTTTGTATCCTGTAACTTTACTGAATTCATTGATCATTTCTAATAGGTGTCTATGCCTTTCTTCTTTTTACCCCTTCTGGGAGCCCGTAATTTGAATGTTTGTCCATTTGATGGTGTCCCAAAAGTCTGGGAGGTAGTCTCCATTCTTTTTAGTACCCCCCCTTTTTTCTTTTATCTAACTAGAATCTCTCTCAGGACCTGCCAGTTCAGATCGTCTTTCTTCTACTTGATTCCATGTGCTGTTGAAGCTTTCAAGATTTCAACTATATATATATATTTTTTTAACTTGAGTTGTCTATTTCCAAGATTTTGACTTGGTTCCTTTTCTTTCTTTCCTTTTTTTAAGATTTTATCTACTTATTTGAAAGGCAGAGCTACAGAGAGAAAGAGGGAGAGACAGAGAGAGAGGTCTTCCATCCGCTGGTTCACTCCCCAGATGGCTGCAACGGCAGGAGCTGAGCATTTGAAGTCAGGAGCCAGGAGCTTCTTCCAGGTCTCCCACACAGGTGCAGGGGCCCAAGGACTTGGACCATCTTTTACTGCTTTCCCAGGCCATAGCAGAGAACTGGATTGGAAGAGGAACAGCCAGGACTCAAACCAGCGCCCAAATGGGATGCCGGCGAAGTAGGTGGAGGCTTAGTCCACTACACCACAGGACAGGCCCCAACTTGTTCCTTTTAAGGGTCTGTGTCTCTTACTGAGTATCTCATTCATCCTAATTTCATTTAACTATGTGTCTCTGTTCTCTTGCATCTCATTGAGTTTCTTTATAATCATTCTCTTGAATTTTTTTGTCACTCATTTTGCCAATTTTCTTTTCTTGGAGTCTTTTGCTAACAAGTTATAGTGTTCCTTTGGAGGCATCATGCTTCCTTGCTTTTTCATATTTCTTTTTTTTAAGATTTATTTATTTATTTGAGAGGTAGAGTTACAGACAGAGAGAGGGAGAGGCAGAGAGAGAGGTCTTCCAATCTGGTTCACTCCCTAGATGGCCGCAACAGCCAGAGATGGGCTGATCCGAAGCCAGGAGCCAGGAGCTTCTTCCGGGTCTCCCACGCAGGTGCAGGGGCCCGAGGACTTCGGCCATCTTCTACTGCTTTCCCAGGCGGTAGCAGAGGGCGGGATCAGAAGTAGAGCAGCTGGGACTTGAGCCGGCACCATATGGGATGGTGCGCTGCAGGCAGTGAACGGCTTAACCTGAGCCACAATCCAGGCTGAGCCAGAATCCAGCCTCTGGGGACAGCTTCTTCAAGACAGCAGCCCGTGCTCTGGGGACACCATGTGCGTTTCCTCTCAACAGCAGTTACAGCGTGCCGCACGCGGCTCCTCTCACCGGGCTGCAGGTCTGTGACGCACGTGGACTCCTCCTGGAGTCCAGTGGGAGGCATCGTGGGCCCTGCTGGGCTCTCCCGTCTCCCCTTCCCCTGCAGTGGGAATCCCCTCTGGCCCGGGGCTGGGGTGCGAGTGCTGTTCCCTTTGTTCCTCTCTCTGCACCGCCATCCAGGTGTCCACGTCCTGCGGGGTGCTGGTGTTCTCCCTCGGGGGCCCGCCTGGCAATGCAGCCATTTGTTCATTGCTTCCGTTCTCCAGGGAGGGGAGGTGGACGCTGGCTGGGCCGCTGTACTCAGCCGCGGGAGAGTGGCCCTCACACCTCCTATGACAGAGCTGTGGTTATGCAAGTGGGCAATCCTCTGTTGGCAGCGCACTGTTCCTCTCTGGCTGCCTTCCGGGTTCTTTTTCATTATCTTTGCTTTTCAACTATTTTCTGACGGTGCATCTGGGCCTGGGTTTCTTGGTATTTGTCCTGCTGTGAGTTCACTCGGCTTTTTACACCTGCAGGTCGTATCCTTTGCCGCACTTGGGAAGTTGGCAGCCGTTGCTTTTTTTGAGGGTGTTTTCAGCATTTCACTCTTTCTCCTGTACTCCAGAAGTCCAGCAGCACGGCTGGACATCACAGCTTTTACTGCCATCCCACTGGACCCTCGGGTTCTATCAGGGTCTTCCCCCAAATGTTCTTTCTCTCTCTCAATCTGTCTTCAAGTTTGTTAGCTTTCCTCTAGCACATCATTTGTGGTGTGGAGCCCATCTAGGGAGTTTTCTTCTCTTACATTGGTTGTTGTATTTTTCAGATCTAAAACTTGTGTTTTGTCCTTTTGTGTGTCTTCTGTTTCTTTAGGGATGTTCTGTATTTTGACTTGCAGGAGTGTCCATGGGGGCTGGCGTTGTGGCACCGTGGGTAAGCTGCTCGTGGAGTGCCTGGGGTTCAAGTCTCACCTCTTCTTCAGATTCAGCTTCCTGCTGGTGCAACCCTGGAGGCAGTAGACAGTGCCTCAAGTGCTTGGGTTCCTCCCACCCACGTGGGAGAGCAGGATGGAGTTCCTGGGTTCCTGGCTCCTGGCTTCAGCCTGGCCCAGCTCTGCCTGTTGTGGCCACTGGGGGAGTGAACCAGCAGATGGAATATTTCTCTCTCTCTCCTTCCCTATCTCTCTCTCTCTCTCTCTCCCACTCCCACCCCCTCCTTCCCTCCCTGTCACCCTGCCTTTCCCATAAATTAAAAAAGATTTTTTTAAATAAAGAGTATTTATGACTACTCATGACCAGATAGTTCCAGCATTTGGGTCATGTCATCTCTTTGCATCTTTTGATTGTATTTTCCTGTGCACGTTTACACTGAGATTTCTATGGGACTTCATATGCTGAGCAGTGTGATGTTTGGCTCAATGCAGGTTTGGGGGTCCCACCAACCTTCTCTGGGTGCTGGTTCCTGAGTCGGTTCCGTCTTCAGGGCTTTCAGATCTGTCTCCTGTGTGCACCCCATCTGGGGCCTGGGGCCTGGGAGGAGCTGTCAGTTCACTTCCAAAGGTCTTTGGAACGCTACTTCGAATCGGAGCCACAGGCTCGGGCCAGGGGCTAGCTCGGGAGGTCCTTACCCTCTTTGTGGGGTTGCCCTGTGAAGCTTCTCTCTCTTTGGTAGCTGCAGCGTCTCTGGTTCCCTGAGGCTCCCTTTTATGGCTGTCCAGCCAGTGACGGCCACTCGGGGGACTGCACTGTAGCAGAGGGGAGAGGCAGCGTTGGATGCCCCCTCCCTGCAGCTGCAGCTCCCCTGCCCCTCTGTCATCGCTCCCCTGGCTTCCTGCTGCTGCCCTCTGTCACCACTCATGGACCCCGCAGCGGGCTTCTCCGAGGACTGGGACCCTGGGAATGGAGGACCTGAGCCGCCCTGCGCCTGGTGACTCGTTCGAACGTCCACGTCCTGGCAGAATCATCATTCCCTACGTCTCTCCCTTCTCTCTCCTTTAATCGTTAGCGTCATCTCGTGGCCCTCTTTGGGGGCTGTTCTCATGACAGGTGACATTTTATCACTTCCTGCTGGTTGCGGAGCCCGCTCAGGGGGGCAAGGCCACCTGTCTCAAGGGGGCTAGGGTGGCCGGCCCACTCACTGGCCGGATGGTTCATGGTAGCATCTGCCATGGAACTTGGGTGCCAGGAGAATGACCCATTGTTCCATGTCGTGTAGATCCTTGCAGAGGCTTGAGAAAACAGACCTGTGTGCTCGTGAAGAGAAATGACAAAGCCTCAAGTCACGGATGGCGTTCTGAGACTTCCCCAGGCTCTGGTCCATGTGTGTCTGGGAGATTCAGCCCTGGGGTTTTAAGGAGAAGGTTGGAGGTCGAGGTAACAGTCCCTCCTGGTGTCTGTTTTCTCTGGGGGTTGAGTCCTAGCTGCTTCAGCAGTCCTTGAACTTGGGTTTCCAGGAATGGGTTGATGAGTAACGGACCTCCGCTGGGCTGGGGCGGTGACCCTCAGGGCATGTGTCCAGGAATGGTGTGTGCTCTCAGGAGTAGACACTGTGTAACCAAATTTTCGGCTTTAACGGAACAGGACGCTAAGGCCAACAAGTGCGGGAAGAACCTGTTGGTGGTCACGTTAGGTGGCACCTGTCCCTTCCCTGCTATGGGGACACCTGGCAAATCCCCACGTCCTGCGTCTCACTGGTGGCTTCAAAGCTACGGACGGAACCTCGAGATGAAATCACCCACCTCTGGAACTTTGGAAGCGGAACCAGAGTGGCCGTATCCTCATGGGTTTTGATCCAGTGTCATGTCCACGGCAGACACTAGACACAGGCGTCCAGGGTGATGGAGCAGGTTCAAGAGAGCGTGTGTTTTGGCAGGTCAAAGAGTGTACACCTGCCTGGGGGGGGGGGAGTTTGCTCAGAGGACTCATCCATCACCTGCCGGCTCTGTGCAGCTGCAAAAAGCCAAGAGCGGCTCCCTGGGCTAAGGAATGGACACGAAGGCACTGGGGTCTGTGGAGAGTGCTGGCCTGAGGCCGGCGTGCGTGTGGTCAGTCATTCGATGATTTCACCCCTACCGTGTGCAAACTCCTGAAGACCCAGCGCTGAGCACAGCCAGACTGGCCCCCCACTCCTGGCCGCGTTTGGTGAAGGCCAGGAGGTAGACGTTGATGGGATGAGCACCCGGTGAAAGTGAGATCACGGTGGAGACCGAGGCCGCGGAGACAGGCGCCACAGAGCAGCTCTTGCAGCCGGGGGTCGAGTGGTGTCGGCTGCGTCCCATCTGTAAAGGCCTTGCGTCTGTGCGTCGCGGAATCCTGGAGGTGGAAGGGACTTGGGTCATCTCCTAACGCAGTATCCATCATTCCTCATGTAGGAAACACCTCACAGCATCCTGCCCTGGAGGTAGACTCGCTTCCAGACACGGAGCAGCATCGGATCCTGCGGTTCTCACGCGGTCAGTCTCCCTGTCTGTGAGCGCTGTGTCTGTGGACTCGGCCAACCCCGGTGCAAGACATCAGGAGAGGAGGCTGCGTCTGTGCACGGCACGTGCAGACTTGCCTTGTCGCGATTCCCTAAACCACGCGGCAGAGCAACCATTTCCGAAGCACTTACCTCGTGTTGGGTGCTCCAGGGAACCGGGGGGCTCTCTGAAGTACATAGGTTATAGGCAGACACCCTGCCACTCTGTGGAAGGGACTTGGGTGTCCGTGGACTTGGCACCTACCGGGTCCTGGAAGCCATCCCCTGTGGATACCCTAGACAACTGGACATTGGTAAGGCTTTCTGGAGCACTGGTCTTTGCTGTTCCATGCAGTCCGAGCAGACAGCCGCGGGTATTCTTGAGCCCCAATCCACACCTCAGATATCTGAGACCAGAGTTAACGCAAATCCACACTCAGAAAGCTACCAGCTTTAAAACTGGGTTGTCACGACTGCGCAGGGCCATGAAGGACCTGGTGTACACGCGGGACAAAGTGCGTTTGGGATCCAGCAGGCTCCCGTGCCCCCCTGTGTCCCGCACCCCAAATCCTGCCCTATGCAGTTGGTAGTGGTGTTTTAAAATCAGTTTTACACTATGGGGGTACTTGTGTTTGCAATTTAATTTTTTTAGGGGCAGGCAGAGAAAGAGAGAAAGGACAGAGAGCTCCCATACTCCAGTCCACACCCCAAATAGCTGCAACGGCCGGGGGCTGAAGCCAGGGGCAGGGACAAGGCAAACGGCTTCCCTTTGTTTTCGATGTTAGTAGATGTTACCGTGGTTTGACACACTGGACGCCAAGAGGACACCAAAACAAAGTTAGTTATCCGTCAGTCTACCACTCCCCCCCCGCCAAGCCAGGAGTGCCAAGTCCCACGTGTCCCTCTGCTGCCACCTAGTGGGGACAGTGTGAATGCAACTGCACGGTCCACTGGAAGAGTTTTGAACCAAGCTGCCATTCTCTCTAATTCTCTAATTTGACTAAAATGAACATATTTTAACTCTCAACTCTTATGAATATCCTTTAAAAAGTCCATATGCTGTAGGGATAGTGTATTTTGACTTTTAAAAACCTAGAAACTCTGCCAGCAATTTAGAGTGCAAGTCTCTTAATAATGCCGCTGTATTTATCCAAAAATGTCTCTGGTTCATGAGCACTTAAACTCCATTGTATCCCCTGGGTGCAGCCACCTGAAAGCTAGGGGCTGCCCAAGCACACCTACTGGGCGATCGATAGCTTTTTGTTAATTGCTTCTGGAAGGATTTTTTTAAAAAAAGATTTATTTATTTATTTGAAAGTCAGAGAAGAGACAGAGAGAAAGACCTTCCATTCTCTGGTTCACTCCCTAGATGTCCACAGCAGCCAGGGCTGGGTCAGGCTGAAGCCAGGAGCTTCATCCAGGTCTCCTACATGGTTGCAGGGACCCAAGCACTTGGTCCATCTGCTGCTGTGTTCCCAGGCTCATTAGCAGGGAGCTGGATGGGAAGTGGAGCAGCCAGGACTCTAATCGGTGTCCACATGGGATGCTGGTGCTTTACCTGCTAACCCACAATGTTGGCCCCCTGATGTCTGGTGATATTTCCAGTTGTGAGGAAGAGAGACAGAAGGGACATGGCATTCTGGCTGCTGATGGCAGTGGAGGGGCAGGGGCTGGCCTGTCTCATGGGTGGCCTGGGTTGGGCTGCAGCTGTGTGGTGTGGTCTCTTCCCGCTGCTGTCCAAAATGCCACATGGTTGGAGGCCCTGATTCCTGCAGATGGGTGAGGTGGGCATTGGCGGGCTGAGAAGGGTCACAGCAAGCCCGAGGTGGGGGCATTTCATGCCACAGCTGCCCACCTGCTCCCCATTTTTCCTTCTGTACCACACGCGACCCGTCCCAGAAACCTTGCTGGAAGGAAGGCAGTAAGCAGGAGCCGACTTCAGGTCTTGGGGCAAAAGATCTGGACAATACTGCTGAAGATAAGCCCAGTGTGTTAGGAGAGAGAGAGAGAGAGAGAGAGAGAGAGAGATAGATAGATAGAGAGAGATAGAGATAGAGATAGAGATATATAGAGAGAGATAGAGAGAGAGAGATAGAGATAGAGAGAGATAGAGAGAGATAGAGATAGAGAGAGATAGAGATAGATAGAGAGAGATAGAGATATGTAGAGATGTAGATAGAGATACAGAGACAGAGAAGGACAGAGACAGAACTGTAGATACAGATGGTGTAGAGATAAAGGTAGAAATAAAGAGTGCACCTACGGGGTCGGCTGGTTCAATTGCAGAAGCTCGGCAGGTTCCGAGCCAGTAGGCGGGGACTCGGGAGAGCTGCAGTGTGATGTGGGAGCTGTCCTCCCCCAGGGGTGCTTCCTGTTCAGGAGAGCTCCATCTGTGCAAGTCAGGCCACCGCTGGCCGGTGAGGCCCGGCTGCATTGCGGAGGGCACCCTGCTCTCTCGGCCCACTGAGCACACGTTGGAAGGAAGGGAGGACTCGTGTGGTCATTTCTGCTGCTGCTCGTTCGTACTTGGAGGTGGGTGGGATGCAGGGTAGGAAGACCCTGGGAAGTCTCGGAAGACCTTCAAGTTGAACGTGACCCAGACTGAGCTGCCTCCATCCTGCTCCCTGTTGCTTCTCCCCTGACACACACTCAGCCACCAAGCCAGGAACCCCGTTCCCATCTCTGGCTGCCCTCTCCCCCTTCCCATGTTCAGCCATCAAGTCCTAAGGTCCCACCCTTGTGGAGCTCTTGCCTTGTCCCTGTGCCTCCTTGCGCCTGCCCAGTTCCTTAGCACTCACCGCCTGGAGCCCACAGTTGCTTCCTGATAGATCCCCCCTCTCCTGGCCAGTTCTCTCTCCACCAGGGGCCTTCTGCAACGCTGGTCTCATTGGTCAGCTCCCTGCTCACACCATCCCGAGGTGCTGCAGGCTGTCCCCACGAAGCTAAGCTGCAAAGTGGCCCCGGAAGTTCTGGGCTCTCCCTTGCCTCCCCTTCCTGCTTAGTTTTGACCCTCCCTGACGTGAGACCTTGGCTCCGGTCATACAGGACAGCTGTTTCTCCACCAAGCTGCAAAGACCTCCCCTTGCTCCCCGCTTTGCTGGGCATTCCTTGTTTTGTGATCAGCACTTCTGCCTCCCAATTATTTTTAAAAAGTGTTTATTCATTTATTTTCTTCTACTTAAAAGGCAGAGTCACACCCGCACACACACACACAGAGTTCAACATATATAAATACAGATGGATAGATGATAGAATGATTAGTCTTCCATCTGCTGATGCACTCCTCAAATGCCAGCAACAGCCAGGACTGGACCACGCCAAAGCTAGGAGCCAGAAACTCCATCTGGTTTTCCCACGGTGGGTGGCAGGGACCCAAGCACTTGGGCCATCATCTGCTGCCTCCAAGAGGCATTAGCAGGGAGCTGGATGGGAAGTGGAGCAGCTGGGACTTGAACTGGCACTCCAGTATGGGAAGTGTCTGTCCCCAGGGGCAGCCTAACTCACTGTGCCACAACATCCACCCCTTTCAACTCTTTTTTTTTTTTTTAAGATTTATTTATTTATTTGAAAGGCAGAGTTACAGAGAGGCAGAGAGAGAGAGAGGACTTCCATCCAATGGTTTACTTCCCAGATGGCTGCAACAGCCAGAGGTGTGCCAATCTGAAGCCAGGAGTTTCTTTCAGGTCTCCCACACAGGTACAAGGGCCCAAGCAATTGGGCAATTGGGCCATCCTCTACTGCTTTCCCAGGCCATAGCAGAGAGCTGGATCAGAAATGGAACAGCCGGGACTTGAACCGGTGCCCATATGGGTTGCTGGCGCTAGAGGCTGAGGCTTTAACCTGCTGCACCAGAGCGCTGGCCCCACCCCTTTCAACTCTTTAGGGGGCATTTTCTCTCTGCTACTGTTTGCAGGGTTGTGAGTGGGCCACTTGTAGGCACTGCCTTCCCCTTATGAAGAATAACCTCACGAGTCCACCCAAAGGATGGACTCAGACCTAGGAAAAGGATGGACTCAGACCCAGGAAGTGCACAGAGACTGACGCTTTAACGGTCTTGCAAGATCGGGTGTCTGGTGGCCAGTGTACCCGGGATGATTGACAGCAAGCTGTTTATGTCCTAGCATGCAGGTCCCTCCCCCAGCTCCTCCGTGGCCAGTACTGTGGCATTAGGATCTTCCTGCATTTGCTTCCCCTGTTTTGGCCACTCCTAACATCCTGTTTGCCTACGACTTTCCAGGTGCATGTAGCCTAGCTGTTGCGCTAGTCGGCTACGTGTGACACCTGTAAGCTGCTATGTTAGCTAGTTGTCTACTCAGCTAAATGCCTCACTTGCAAAATGAACCACATGTTCAATTCTCACGATGTCATCTCTATCTCTTTTTACAGTTTTGGGTCTTGCTTTCATTTTTATTTTGATGACCTTCAGGTATTTTGTGGAATGCCAGGGGGAAGGGAATGACCAGTAGAACTAAGCACAAGTCCCGGTCCAGCTGGACAGGAACAGGACACGGAGGTTCCTCTTTGCACAGTGCTGCCAGACATCAGCCCGGGGGTCTAAGGAGGGCTGAGTAGTTCCTGCCGTCAGGGTCACAGTAACATTAAGAGGCTCCTGGAGGCCCACAGTTCTCCCACGGGCGTATTGAACTTGGCCTGCAGCCTGGAGAGGCGGGAGAAATTGTTCGTCTTCCCCATGGGGAAAGAGGGCGTTGCCCTAACGCCTGACCTTTGCGGCATGGGGGAACACAGCACCAGGCTTCTTCAAGTCTTGTCTCCCGGCCTCCTTGTCCCTGGCGTGGAGCCAGCATGCGTCGGGACCCTGTCCCATCCTGGGGAAACGCAGCCACCTGTGCCTGAGGGGAGGCCTACACTGGAAAGCTGACTGCTCCTACCCAGGCGTTCCTGTCTGCACACCCCATCTCAGTGTGTGTCCCAGCTGCTCCCTCCCACAGTCCATACGAATTTTTGAGGACTGAGCGAACTCGTAGTTAACTTGTTCAAGGTCAGGTTTAAGGGCTCTTTGGGTGATCCACACGCTTCCACTGGTCTTTCTTCCCCTCTTGGGGTCTTGCTTACCAGTCCCTGTGAGCAGTTCCTACGGTGGCCTCCGTGGTCAGGAGCACCTGGTAGGGCCCTTCCCAACTGGGGTGAAACTTGGCTTCCTTCCAGGTCCTGCGCGGTGGAAAGTGAGGAGCTGCGGGCCTGGGAGGCGGAGTCTGGGCGAGGGAGGAGGCGGAGTCTGGGCGAGGGAGGAGTCCTGTTAACCCGAGGGATGAGATCTCTCCTGCCCTAGGCATTTCACAGCCCCTGCACACCCACCCTGTGCTGATGCAGCTGCCCACACACCTCGTCCCTAAGGACTGCATCACACAGAGCTTGGGGACCCCAGTGGCTCCCCTGACGTAATATGGAGATGATGAGCACAACATAGACTGGGCATCCTTCTAGAGCTCACAAGTATTTTCAGTGGTTCACACCATTTGGCCCAAATAAAACACTCCATTTTTTAAAAAAAATATTTTATTTATTTATTTATTTGAGAGGTAGAGTTACAGATAGTGAGAGGGAGAAACAGAGAGAAAGGTTTTCCTTCCATTGGTTCACTCCCCAAATGGCCGCAATGGCTGGAGCTGCGCTGATCTGAAGCCAGGAGCCCGGTGCTTCTTCCCAGTCTCCCACATGGGTGCAGGGGCCCGAGGACTTGGGCCATCTTCCACTGCTTTCCCAGGCCACAGCAGAGAGCAGGATAGGAAGAGGAGCAGCTGGGACTAGAACCAGCACCCATATGGGATGCCGGCACTGCAGGCAGAGGATTAACCTACTGCGCCACAGCGCCAGCCCCCAAAACACCCCATTTGAGATTCAGTTTTCCCTAACAATCAAGACCCAATAACTGCAAAAGAAAAGCACATGCCACCTTTACCTAGGTTAGTCACAAAAGCACAGCAAAACTTTAATTAGCTTGTGACATTAGCATCCGGAAACAAAGAGGTAGATCAGGTACTCCAGCTCTTCGGACCTCTAAGACCCACCTGGTCTCACGCAGCATTTAACTTCCGTACCCCTTTGATGACATTCCTTCAGTTTCTCTTTGTATCCTAACCTCTTGCACCAAGAATTCATTCTATGCTTACGGCTTTCTTACCCAAAAGTTGCAACCTGGAGGTCACAGGCAAACCTTAAGCCTGGAAGACGAAGCGTGTAAGCATCCTCTCTGGTAAGCTGGGCCTTCATGTTACTGTTCTCCGCTGCGGGCTGTCAGTCCCCTCTGTCTGGATTCTTTAATTCCAAAGCTCGAGTCGGAGCATACAGTTCACGTGAGGATCAAGCAATTCGCTCCCTCTGTGCTGGCTGTAAACCCGTTCCCCCTTACCTTTGTTCGTCCCTGGTCTCCTAATCCTACGCCTAAACTCAGGATCAGGTCTCAGCCCAGCAGATCCAGCCCTGCTGCGGGTGTTTACAGAAATGAGCCCTGCGCGTTGTTGTCCCAGGTATTGGCTCCCTCAGAAGCGGGGGGTGGGGGGTGGGGAATCATCCTTTCTTCTTCATCCTCTGGACAGGTCCTGTCTTCCTCCCCCGGGTGTCCTCTGACCGTTTCAGGAGCCCCTGTCTGCGTTTCCCTCCTAGCCGCCGTTGGCATTTGGGCTTTCCCCACCCTTTTTCTTTTCTTTTTTTTTTTTAACTTTTATTTAATAAATATAAATTTCCAAAGTACAGTTTATGGATTACAATGGCTTCCCCCCCCATAACTTCCCTCCCACTCGCACCCCTCCCATCTCCCGCTCCCTCTCCCCTTCCATTCACATCAAGATTCATTTTCAATTCTCTTTATATACAGAAGACTAATTTAGTATATATTAAGTAAAGATTTCATCAGTTTGCACCCACACAGAACATAAATTGTAAAATACTGTTTGAGTACTAGTTATAGCATTAATTCATATTGTACAACACATGAAGGACAGAGATCCTACATGAGGAGCAAGTGCACAGTGACTCCTGTTGTTGACTTAACAAATTGACACTCTTGTTTATGGCATCAGTAATCACCCTAGGCTCTTGTCATGAGCTGCCAAGGCTATGGAAGCCTTTTGAGTTCACCAACTCCGATCTTATTTAGACAAGGTCATAGTCAAAGTGGAAGTTCTCTGCTCCCTTCAGAGAAAGTTACCTCCTTCTTTCCACTGGGATCTCACTCGTAGAGATCTTTCATTTAGGTCTTTTTAAATTTAATTTAATTTATTATTATTATTTTTTTTTTTGCCAGAGTGTCTTGGCTTTCCATGCCTAAAATACTCTCCTGGGCTCTTCAGCCAGTTCCGAATGCCTTAAGGGCTGACTCTGAGGAGTGAACCGGCTAATGGAAGATCTTCTCTATCGCTGTGTTTCTCTAACTCCGATTTTCAAAATAAATGAATAAATCTTTAAGAAAAAGTGAGAGAAACAAAAAAAGATGGAGAGACACAGAGATCTTCCATCTGTTGGTTCACTTCTCAAATGGCTGCAAAGCCTGGGGTTGGGCCAGGCCAGATCCAGGAGCCCAGAGCTGCATCCAGGTCTCCCATGTGGGCAGCAGGGCCCAAGCACTTGGCCATCTTCCTCTGCTTTCCCGGGTGCATTAGCAAGAAGCCGGATCAGAAGCAGAGCAGCCAGGACCTGACCTGGTGCTCTGATGTGGGTTCCAAGTGTGGCAGGGGGCGGCTTGCTCACTGCCCCACAATGCCAGCCCCTTCTTTGTTTCTTCTTAATGCAGGAATGCAACAAGCACTTGTCACTTGTCACTCAGAGGCAGACCCGGCGAAGCCTTGCGCAGCACACACAGGAGACCTGCCGGAATTCAGGATCTTGTGTTAAGTGCTTTGACATGACCATTTAGGGGCGTCTTTGGAAGCAGAAGAGGGGGGGTTCTCTGTCAGGTTTGGGAGTCTGGAATCTTCTGGAAGCTTCTTGTAGAGGGTGAGAAGTGTGTGGATTTGGGTTTTTGACTGCACGCAGAATCTGACTGTCTCGGCCTACTGTCTGTTGCTATAACTGAATACCTGAGCCTGACTAAGATAGAAAGAAGAGAGGCCTATTGTAGCTCACGGTTCTGGAAGTCCGGGAACATGGCACTGGCCTCTGCCAGTTTCGGCCTCTTGACATAAACATGGGGAAGGCATCGCATGGCGGGAGGTGCACAGGTGTGGCAAGCAGGCGCATGCAGAAGAGAGACCAAGGAGCCAGACCCTGGAGATGGCGAGCCCATTCCCAGAAGGCGGCATGAACCCGTTCCTGAGTCGCAGGAGCCATGTGAGTGACAACCTCATCATTACAAGAGCAGATTACGCTCTCAGCTGCATGGGGGGGGGGCACAGTAAAGCCTGGGACCCCCTACCATGTCCGTGCCTCCCCATGTCCCTCAGGGTGGAGGACAACAGTCAAGGGGCGGGAGTAGAAGAATCAGGTGAAGTGGGATTTGACAGGCAGAGTGGACAGTGAGAGAGAGAGACAGAGAGAAAGGTCTTCCTTTGCCGTTGGTTCACCCTCCAATGGCCGCCGCGGCTGGCGCACCACACTGATCCGATGGCAGGAGCCAGGTGCTTCTCCTGGTCTCCCATGGGATGCAGGGCCCAAGCACTTGGGCCATCCTCCACTGCCATCCTGGGCCACAGCAGAGAGCTGGACTGGAAGAGGGGCAACCGGGACAGAATCCGGCGCCTCGACCGGGACTAGAACCCCGTGTGCCGGCACCACAGGCGGAAGATTAGCCTAGTGAGCCGTGGCGCCGGCCCCTCATCTGAATTTAAGGCAGGAATTAAAGGACCTACAAACCCCCATGGCCTCCCAAACAGCAAACATGTAGCATAAGGAAGCTCGGGTTCCCAGGTAGGAGAGGGGGAGAGAGGGGGTGATTACGGGGGCAGCCATGGCCGTTCAGGAAACGGAGGGGCCTCCCGGGCAGGGGCTTGACCGGCCGATGCTGAGCAGCGCAGAGGCAGCCTCTCAGAGAGCCAACAGGGCAAGGAAGCGGAGGCTGCTCCCAGGTCACAAAACGTCCCGCAGGCTCTAGAAATTCAACCAAGGAAGACACGCCCCCTGCTTTTCCACAGAGACTGGGCCGTCCAGCGAGGGACTTCTCTGGAGCAAGCCTTGGGAAACAGGAAGCGCTGGCCTGAAGTCACAAGGACACGGCAGGCGATCGATGGGCGGATGAGAAGTCACGTGGGGGACTCTGAAGGGGAGCACAGAAGGCTTCCGTGACAAGAGGAGAAAAACGATGCATGGTTCCCGCTGTAGGAGAGGCGGGTAAAGAGAGATGGGTCAGAACCCCACCAGAAAAGATGGGATCAAGTGTTAAGTCGTTCATCGACAGTCAGGACAAGGGCTGATCAAGTCACTGTTTCTCAGTGTCCATTTCACTTCAACAGGTTTCCTTTTGCGCTCAGTTAGTTGTCGCCGATCAGGGAGAACATGTGATATTTGTCCCTTTGGGACTGGCTTATTTCACTCAGCGTGATCCCGATGCCTCCATTTTATTGCAAATGACCGGATTTTACTGTTTTTTACTGCTGTATAGTATTCTATACTATATGGATATGCTTCAAGATACTTCTAAAAGTTCATGGAAAAGTGGAGTGAAAAAGGTTAAGTTAGGGGCTGGTATTGAGGCACAGCACCTTAAGCTACTGCTTGCACAGTGCTGACTGGAGCCTGGGCTGCTCCACTTCTGATCCAGCTCCCTGCTAATGCTCCTGGGAGAGCAGCAGAAGATGGTCCAGGGCCTAGGGCCCCTGCCACCCACAGGGGGGACTAGGATAGCGTTCCAGGCTCCTGGCTCTGGCCTGGCCCAGCCTTGACAGTTGCAGCCATTTGTGGGAGTGCTTGGGAGAGGAGAGGTCCTGTGGCATGACAAGAAGCCAGAGCGAGACTACATTAACCGGGGCCAGCGCTGTGGCGTAGTAGACTAAGCCTCTGCCTGCAGCTCTGGCATCCCATATGGGTGCCGGTGTGTGTCCTGGCTGCTCCACTTCTTTCTTTTTTTTTCTTTCTAAAGGTTTATTTATTTATTTGAAAGAGTTACACAGAGGGAGAAGGAGAGGCGGCGGGGGGTGGGGTCTTCCAACTGCTGGTCACTCCCCAATTGGCCACAATGGCCGGAGCTGTGCCGATCCGAAGCCAGGAGCCAGGAGCTTCTTCCGGGTCTTCCCAAGTAGGTACAAGGGCCCAAGCATTTGGGCCATCTTCCACTGCTTTCCAGGCCATAGCAGAGAGCTGGATCGGAAGTGGAGCAGCCAGGACTCGAACTGGTGCCCATGTGGGATGCTGGCACTGCAGGCAGCAGCTTTACCTGCTACGCCACAGCACCAGCCCGGCTGCTCCACTTCTGATCCAGCTCTCTGCTCTGGCCTGGGAAAGCAGTGGGAGATGGCCCAAGTCCTTGGGCCCCTGCACCTGTGTGGGAGACCCAGAGGGAGATCCTGGCTCCTGGCTTTGGGTTGGCCCATCTCTGGCTGTTGCGGCCATTTGGGAGTGAACCAGCAGATGGAAGACCTTTCTCTCTGTCTCTCCCTCTCTCTTGTCTGTAGCTCTACCTCTCAAATAAATGAATAAAATCTTTTTATTTAAAGACTGCATTAACCCGCCCCAAAGGCGGTGCCCCCGTGACCTGACAGCTTCCATGGCCACCATCTTCCACATCGCCACATGGGTCTAAGGGTGTGGTGGCTGCTGTCATTGCCACACTGGACGCTGCTAGGCGGATAGACTTGTAAATGTGCGATATTAGAGTGTATGGAGCATATTAAAACCATCGCGGGCAGTAGGCATACACACTAGACTTAAAGACCATCAGAGGAGGAGCTGTCAGACACAGGTTCCGACACCTGTGCCTTTGAGATCATGTGCTGGTGCCCCGGCCTCTAAGTAGGTCTTGTCACCTCTGACCCCAGATGCCTTTGGCCTCCGAGGACCGTGTCAGCCTCTCCCACTTACAGCTGTCCTTGACCTCCAACGACTTCTCTGCAGCCCAGCCTCCCCGGCCTCCTTGCTCTTCCCCAGCATTTGACCACTCGTTGGAGTCTCTTTTGCCTTTGTGTGTCCACTCTGAAAACTTGAACAGACGCGTGCGTCTCAGGGAGCTTCAGCTCATGGACTGCTCAGAAGCCAGCCAGACTCTCGCTGGTGGAAAGACCTTCTGATGATTTGTAGAAATTCTTTTGTTTTTTTAAAAAAAGATTTATTTATTTGAGAGGCAGAGTTACAGAGAGAGGGAAGGACACACACACACACAGATAGAGAGGGAGAGGGAGAGAGAGAGGTCTTTCATCTGCTGGTTCACTCCCCAGATGTCAGCAACAGCCAGAGCTGAGCTGATCCGAAGCCAGGAGCCAGGAGCTTCCTCCAGGTCTCCCACGCGGGCGCAGGGGCCCAAGGACTTGGGCCATCTCCCACTGCTTTCCCAGGCCGTAGCAGAGAGCTGGATCAGAAGAGGAGCAGCCAGGACATGAACCGGTGCCCATACGGGATGCCAGCACCGCAGGCAGAGGCTTAGCCTGGTAGACCACGGCACCGGCCCTATAGGAATTCCTAGGGGAAGAGCAGAGGCCCAAGAGGAACTGGGAAACTGGGCACAAAACATGACAGCGAGACCCCTGAAAAGAAAGAGGCAAAAGCAGCTGGAAGGTGAAGCTTTGGGGGCCCCATCTGGGTGTGGGGAGTGCAAAGGGGAGGTGTGGGTGGCTGCAGGGGACAAACCCCAGTGACACTGTCATCCCAGTCCTTGACTGTCCCAAGACTGGTGCAGTCTGGGGCAAGTCAGGCCATGCCACATGCCACGAGGCCAGCCCCAGTTTTATAATCCAGGGTGAGCTCTCCTTTCCTGGGTGGAAGGCGCCCCAGGGGGAGCAAGAAAGCAGGAGGACCGGTCTCCTCCTGGGCGACACTTCCAGCAGTTCCAGGCAGCCACTGGAGGGACCCGGAGGGCAGTGCCACAGCCTGGGCGACGCTCAAGTGTAAGCACCCCCTAACAAGTGAACCACTGGTGCCAGCCCGGCTGCGGAAGTGGGGGTGGTGCTGGATCGTGGGTGACCCTCAGGAAAGAAGTTGCTAGAGACAGAGCCTAAAGGTGTCTGCAGGGCCGGCGCCGCGGCTCACTAGGCTAATCCTCCGCCTTGCGGCGCCAGCACA